AAGATCAATGGCGATAAACTTCCGACCTGTCCTTTTAATACGCAGGTGAAAGAACGCGAGCTTGTTGTAGCCGGTAACTTGGACTTAAAATTCTTTCAAGGTGACGAGCTCCAAAGGCTATTTGGAATTGCTATTAACATGGAAGGGAATATTGTTGTTACAGATAACGCTGGACACTTTGTTTACGTTTTCGATAAGGAAGGCAACTGTTTAAGGAAAATTGGTGGCCTAGGCACAAACTCTGGACAATTTCGGCACCCACAAGGCCTTTTTTTTTTCAGCAAGTATGAGGTTCTAATTGCAGACAACCAGAATCATAGAATACAACACTTAAACATCGAGACAGGAACTGTTGTGAAAACCTTTGGAAAACGTGGTGCAGGAAAAGGAGAGTTTCAGAATCCAATTGATGTTTGTTTGGATGATGAAGGACGCATTGTTGTAGCCGAGCTCAGCAATAATAGGATACAGGTTATATCCAAAGAGGGAGAAACTCATTCCATGTTTGGAGACAGTGGTCCAGAGAAACTCAACCATCCAGTTGGCTGCATTCCTTTCAAAAACATGATTTTCGTTTCGGATAGAGACAATCACTGCGTTAAAGCTTTTGATCAGTCAGGAACTTTTTTGTACAAGTTTGGGGAACTAGGGAATCAAGACGGACAATTTAATCAGCCGTACCTCATGCATGTAGACAGTTCCAATAATCTTCTTGTATGTGATTACGGAAACTACCGAGTTCAGCAATTTTCTTTAAACGGTCGCTTCACGGGCAAAAGTCACGCTGTTTTACGAACACCTGTTGGGATAACAACAGCACCAGACGGAAGTATTTTCGTGGCTAGTAATACAGACAAGAAAGTCTATATATTAAAGTAGATGTTTCAATTGTCGTTAGGGTTTGAAATTCACGGACATTGTGTTTTGTTGGTCTTTAAAAAATTGACGTCACGTTTCTATGGCGACGTAACCCTCACCTGCGTTACAAGGTGCACAAAAAACGTAATGTGTAACAGACCAAATAGTGTAAATTATATGCCTGTCTTTATCGGTATACGATTTGTTATCAGATATTTGTTGACAGAGGTAAATAAGCATTCGGGCAAATGAAATTCGAGTGTATTCTTTTTTTTTTCTTCGAATTTTTTAGCAGAGAGGTATCAAACCTGATTGTCTGTTGAGTCCAAAATTAAATAGCAGATGCGTTATCATATTAGCTGAGTTACTTCTTACCTAAGTCTTTTGTCGATGGCGCGACATAAGGAGTCGTGTTATCTTGGTACCCGGCTTTATCTTCTCTCTCCCCACCCCAGAAAAAAATAGACTAGGTGACCTCGCAATGAATTGTACATTTATTTCAATGTTTTAGTGGCGTATGAAGTTTTCAGAATATTAAATTCTGATCATTTATGTGTAATGTTTTTTACTGTCTTTAGGTGAGTGATAGTTATATAATTTTATTTTTAGCGCCAGAAACACTGAAAAAAACTGTTATTACTTGCATTTCATGCATGTAGACAGTTCCAATAATCTTCTTGTATGTGATAACGGAAACAACCGAGTGCAGCAATTTTCTTTAGACGGTCGCTTCACTGGTAACAGTACCGCTGTTTTACCAAATCCTACTTGAATAACAACAGCACCAGGCCGAAGTATTCTCGTGACTAGTGCAACAGAACAGGGAGTATACATATTGAAGTAGATGGTTCAATCGTTAGTGTGTAAAATTCTTCATGTCTTACATGTAAGACGGGCCATCTCTTAGATAACAATGTGTCTATTTGGTCTTTAAAATATAGGACGTCATGTTTCTATGGCAACACAGCCCTCACCTGCGTTAAAAGATGAATAACAGACCAACAGTGTATTTATTTATATGCGTGTTTTTGTCAGTATTTGATTTGTTATCACATATTTGTTGCCTGGGGTAA